CTACTCTTTGCTGTTGGCTAGAGGCCACCCTCAATTGCTTGCCATGTGGCCCTCTAAAGTCCTGTTCACAACAGAGCAGCTTGCTTCTTTGAAATCGAGAGAGAGAAAATAATAATAATAATAATAATAATAATAGGGGTGCCTGTGTGGCTCAGCTGGTTAAGCCTTGAACTCTTGGTTTTGGCTCAGGTCAGGATCTCGGGTTGTGAGATTGAGCCTCACCTTGGGCTGCATGATCAGCCGGGAGTCTGCCTGGGATTCTCTGTGCTCCTCCCTCCTGCTCACATGCACGTACTCTCCCTAATAAATAAATCTGAAAGGATAAAATAAAATAAAATAAAATAAAATAAAGGGAGAGAATTCATTAATAAGATAAACATTATAATCTGATATAACGTAATCATGTCACATTATCACATACATCCCATCATCTTTGTGGTATTCCGTTGATTAGAAGCAAATCTAAGTCTCACACACACACACACACACACACACACACACACACACACACACAATACCAGGATAGAGGGATCATGGGGGGCCACCTTAGAGTCTGTCCACCACACTTGGATATTAATTTCCTCTTGAGGGAATCTAGATTTGCTTCTGCCAAGCACCTGGGAGGTCTAAATATCCTAGGTAACCTCGTTTCCTTACTGAGTTACCTAAAAGTAAATGTGTTTCCACATAATCTAGTTTATTAATTTACAGCAAAACAAAGATTCAAACGAAGAATTACATTTTTAGCCTAGAAAAAACAGACGGTACAAATTTTTCCCATTAAATTATGTTGAAAATCTACTTTTGGAGCTTCTCATAATGAAAAGAAAATTCTATTATTACATAATGGAAATTTATGCCTAAAACACGGGAGTCTAGAAGTTAGCATAGAATTATAAAACTTTCAAAGTAGTTGGTGTTTTGCTAATACCCTCATGTGAAACAGTCTCTTATGTGTTGAATATTCCTACTATTATATATTGTATCGCTCAAATATGCATCGCTAATCTTGAGAAAGAAGAACAAAGCTGAAGTATCACAATCCCAGATTTCAGTATATATTACAAAGCTGTAATAATCAAAACAGTATGGTACTGGTACAAAAATAGACGCACAGATCAGTGGAACAGAGTACAGAAATAAACCTAAATTATGTGCCCAATTTATCTACAATAAAAGAGGCAAAAATATACAATGAGGAAAAGACAGTCTCTTTCATAAATGGTGCGGGAAGGGGTGCCTGGGTGGCTCAGTCAGTTAAGTGTCTGATTCTTGATTTTGGCTCAAGTCATGATCCAGGATTGTAAGATCCAGTCCTGCATTAGGCTCCGCGCCAGGGATGAAGGCTGCTTGGCATTCTCTCTATCCCTCTGCCCCTCCCTACTCTCTCTTTCTCTTAAGAAACAAAATAAACAAAATAAAACAAAACTAATATATAAAAAAAAGAAAGAAATGCCTCATATTTAAAAGTAATAATAATAATAATAATGGTGCTGGGAAAACTGGACAACTACATGCAAAAGAATAAAACCAGACTCTCTCTTACACCATACACAAGCATAAATTCAAAGTGATTAAAGATCTAAATGTGAGACTTGAAACCATAAAACTCCTAGAAGAAAACATAGGCAGTAATCTCTTTGACATTGGCCTCAGCAACATTTTTCCAGATATATTTCCTTTAGGCAAAGGAAACAAAAACAAAAATAAATTACTAGTTCTACACCAAAATAAAATGCCTTTGCACAGCAAAAGGAAACATCAGTAGAACAAAAAAGCAAACTACTGAATGGGAGAAGATATTTGTAAATGATATATCCAATAAGGGGTTAATATCCAACAAGTATAAAGAACTTACACAATTCAACACCAAAGAAATGATCGAATTTTAAAAATGGGCAAAAAATATGGGCAGAGAGTCATTTCTCCAAAGAAGACATATAGATGGCTAAGAGACACATGAAAAGCTGCTGAACATCACTCATCATCAGGGAAATGCAAATCAAAACTACAGTGAGATAATACCTTACACTTATCAGAATGGCTAGTAACACAAAGACAAGAAATGGTAAGTGTTGGCAAGGATGTGGGGGAAAAGGAAACTTCAGGCACTGCCAGTGGAATGTAAATTGATGTAGCCACCATGGAAAACAGTATGGAGGTTTTTGTTGTTTTTTTAAGATTTTTATTTATTTATTTGACAGACAGAAATCACAAGTAGACAGAGAGGCAGGTAGAGAGAGAGAGAGAGGAGGAAGCAGGCTCTCCGTGGAGCAGAAAGCCCGATGTAGGGCTTGATCCCAGGACGCCGGGATGATGAACTGAGCCAAAGGCAGATGCTTTAACCCACTGAGCCACCCAGGCACCCTGGAGGTTTAGTTTTTTAAAAAATGGGGCACCTGAATGGCTCAGTCATTAAGCGGCTGCCTTTGGCTCAGGTCATGATCCCAGGGTCCTGGATCGAGACCCACATCAGGCTCCCTGCTGGGCGGGAAGCCTGCTTCTCCCTCTCCTGCTCCTCCTGCTTGTATTTTCTCTCTCTCTGTGTCTCTCTCTGTCAAATAAATAAATAATATCTTTAAAAAAATCTTTTAAAAAGTGTAAATACTATATGATCCAGTAATTCCACTAGGGGTATTTACTGAAAGAAAACAAAAACACGAATTCAAAAAGATATATGCAACCCTGGGGCGCCTAGGTGGCTCAGTGGGTTAAAGCCTCTGCCTTCAGCTCAGGTCATGATTCCAGGGTCCTGGGATTGAGCCCCACATCTGACTCTCTGCTCAGAGGGGAGCCTGCTTCCCTTCCTCTCTCTGCCTGCCTCTCTGCTTACTTGTGATCTGTCAAATAAATAAATAAAATCTTTAAAAAGATATATGCAACCCTATGTTTATTGCAGCATTATGTATAATAGCCCAGACATGGAAGAAATGTGTCTATCATAGTAAAAATGTGATGCGTGTACACACACACACACACACACACACACACACAGGAATATTACTCAGCCACAAAAAAGGGTGCGAGTTTGCCATTTGCAACATGGATGGACCTAGAGGACATTATGCTAAGTGAAATAAGTCAGGGAAAGAGATATACCATACAATTTCACTTATATGTGTAGTTTGAAAAATAAAACAAGCAGAAACAGACCCATAAATATAGAGAATAAACCCATGGTTGCCAGACATGTGCGGAGTGGAGGGAAGGGAAAAGTGAGGAAGAAGAGTAGGAGATATAGGCTTCCCGTCATGGAATGAGTGAGTCACAGGATGAGAGATACAGTATAGGGAATATAGTTACCGGTATTGTAACAGCCTTCCACAGTGACAGATGCGGGAGTCACACCTGAGGTGAACATAGCATGATGCATAAACATGTAAAATATAAACTTGTCCAAACACCATGTTGTACACCTGAAACTAATGTAACACGGTATCAACTAAACTTAAAGAATAAAAAGAAAAACCACAATAAAAAATGGGGCACGTGTGTGGCTCCGTCAGTTAAGAATTTGATTCTTGATCTCAGCTCAGGTGTCAATATCAGGGTTGTGAGTTCAAGCCCCATGTTGGGCTCCATGAAATGTACTTAAAAAAATAAGGGGCACCTGGGTGGCTCAGTGGGTTGGGGCCTCTGCCTTCGGCTCAGGACATGGTCCCGGAGTCCTGGGATCGAGCCCCGCGTCGGGCTCTCTGCTCTGCGGAAAGCCTGCTTCCCCCCCCCTCTCTCTCTCTGTCTGCCTCTGCCTACTTGTGATCTCTGTCAAATAAATAAATAAAATCTTAAAAAATAAAAAATAAAAATAAATAAAAATAAAAGACTTCGTTCCTAAATAGAAATAACATACTGATGAAACCAGCACACTGGAATTATAGCCTGTGATGCTGATATAAACTTAAAACATTTGAAGAACATTAATTTATTTCATTTAAAAAAAAGAAAATCTGAAATTTGTATAAACTTGTGCAATAGATATTGCATCTGTATCTTTTTTTTTTTTTTTAAAGATTTTATTTATTTGATAGAGACCACAAGTAGTCAGAGAGGCAGGCAGGGAGAAAGGAGGAAGCAGGCTCCCTGCTGAGCAGAGAGCCCCATGTGAGGCTCGATCCCAGGACCCCGAGACCATGACCTGAGCCGAAGGCAGAGGCTTTAACCCACTGAGCCACCCAGGTGCCCCTGCATCTGTATCTTTAAAAACTGATTTGGGGGGCACCTGGCTGGCTCAGTTGGTTGAGCAGCTGACTCTTGGTTTTGGCTCAGGGCATGATCTCAAGGTCCTGGGATCACCTGTGTCAGGCTCCACACTCAACAGAATCTGCTTGTGGATTCTCTCTCTGACCCTCCCCCTATTCATGCTCTCTCTCTCTCTCAAATAAATAAAATATTGACTTGGGAGTAGGACATTATATACATTTGGGAACCTTTTATTGTTCTGTGAATAAAGTGACAGGCTTATTCTTAAGATCTGTACCTACGAGATATGCTTTTGAAGTAAGCATCTAAGAAAGTAAAATATATGACCACTCTATCCGGGAATAAATTTTAAAATATTATCTACCTTTCAACCACCTTTGGCAGACACTAATTGCACCTACCTTAATTCTGTACTCCTTTCTTCCCCCAATTTTTCCCAGGCATATGGTCATCTGGAATAAAAGCTGTATTTTCATCCTTCCTCGCATCCTTCTCCCTCACGGGGGACCGTGACTAAGTCTTGGCCAAGAAAATTAAGTGAGGGTGCGACCTTCTCACTCACTGCCCTCTGCCTTGCTGGTTAGTGTTGACATGAGGGAAAGACTTTGAACAGCAATCTTGGAATGTGAGAGAGAAGCCAAGTGCTGAGGTTGCTAGAGCACCACAGCAGCCTTGTGATACTTACCTCTGAAACCCTGTTAAGTGAGGGGGAAAAAACCTTTCTTTTTTTAAAGCCACTCGTATTTGGGGTTTTAGTTTTATGCTGCTGTAGTAACCTTAACCAATACACATTGTGGCTGTTGGCATATTACTCCTTTATTAGAAATTGTAAATGAGAAATTATTTCGACACCTGAAGACCAAACTATAACAGATGATTCCATAGGTTCAAGATTTTGAGACATTCTAGAAAGAGTTTTCTGTAAAGTATATCCTTTCCGTGGCATGGCAACATCATTCTTCTTTAAAAAAGTTACTGGACAGACATCGTTTCCACCATCACCTATATAAACAATTCGTGTATAATTCACTCCCTGTTGTAACTGTTTATCTACAAATTCTACCAAAACTACATTTTTGCAAAGATTTTTGGGGCACCTGTTGCAAGAATGGGCATGGTAACTTTCCACAGTGAGATGACCATTGCTATCAAAAGCTGCTGGATTTGTAAACACTTTATCAAACACATCATGAAAACTGGTAGCTTCTAAAACCCAATCTATGAAGACTGAATTTGAATCTGAAATAATGATGCAGTCAAATTTATCCTTGTTCTTTCTTATAAAGTTCAAAAGCTCCACCATCCCTAGAGTGAAAGGCATTGATGTCACTGCTCTTTTCATTTCATCTTCTCTTACACCTTCATCTCCCAAATACTTAAAGACTCTGCCCATAAATTCTGTCCAAAATCCTTTTTCATAAGAATCTTGTAGTTCAATAGGAAGCTTTTTCTCTGGAGCACACTGTACAATCCAGGTGTCACTATTATCATCTATGATTGTATTGTCAAAGTCAAAAACGAGCAAAATTTTCATGGTTCCAAAAGCAAATGTGGGTTACCCTGAAAAACAAGAAATATTGTTTCCTAAACATACTGTTTTACATGTCTAGCTATTACACTTATTTAACAAACATTACTGAATGTTAATCTGCTAAAACAAAGGGTTAATATAAAAAAAAAGTCAAATGATTAAGCATTTAAGGCTACCACTTAAGCATTTTTTTTCTTAAGAAGCAAAGTTCATATTTGAGTACTTCAAGTAAATGGAAACAAAATATCTAAAAGGATATTCACAGTATTATTGTGTTCTGGAGGGTATGATTCTTTGACGCTCAGAATTAAACTACAGAGTAAGCCAATGAGAGAAGTAATGAAATAATTACTCTTGTACAGCCTAATTTAGAAAAATTATAAAAAAGACAGAGAAAAGTAGGCTAATCACTCTTATTGTCTTTAAATTATCAATCATAAATTTATTAGTTTAAAATATTTACAATAATCCACATATTAAATAACAACTCACATATAATATAAATCCTCTGTATACTATCCTAAATTCTGACCAAATTTTAACACCATGACATCTTGCAAAATTTGAATAACTTTCCTAAAAAAGGCATTTAGCTTGAAATCAGTAATGCCAGTGTTATAACTAAATGGTTGCTTGATGTTGTACTTGAAATCCTAAACAAATTAAAGCTGGGAGTCAATTCCATTCTTCTAAACTAGAAGTAACTTTTGTTAACAATTTTCACATTTATTTATATTTTCCTTAGACAGTTTAGCTCTGGAGTACCAAATAATCTGGGAATGTGTGAAAAATCTCATTGCTTATGATATGACGATTACTTAATTCTTAGTTTTTATTAAATGATAATGAAAGTCATTAATTATAAATCTTGAGAAAAGGAAAAACTAAACTGGTCAACAGATGGTATGGATAAAAATTATGTAAAAAAATAGGGCACCTGGGTGGCTCAGTGGGTTAAGCCTCTGCCTTCAGCTCGGGTCATGATATCAGGGTCCTGGGATCGAGCCCCATATCGGGCTTCCTGCCCAGCGAGGAGCCTGCTTTCCCCCTCTCTCTGTCTGCCTCTCTTCCTAATTGTAATCCCTCCTGCTGCCAAATAGATAAATATATTTAAAAAAATTATGTAAAAAAAGACAGTTATAAAGAATACCCATGAGAAGCTACAATTACTGCATATAAACAAAAAAATATTTTTTTAAAGAGTAACTAATACTTTTAAAGATATCACAATACACTAGGCTAAGAACTTTACATTCTCATCATCTACTTAACTTCATAACCCTATTAAGTAGAAATTATTATCCTCATCTTAAAGATATATAAACTGAAGATTAAATATTTGTTAAGTTGATTAAATTTTAGTTAAGTGGAAGAGCTGAAATTTGGACTCAGGTCCAGACTCCAAAATTCATGCTTAAAGTACAGTACTCTAGTGGCTAAGAAATAGAATAAAGATTATTAATTAGTTTATTTTTTTAAGTTTATTTATTTTTTTGTAATCTCTACATCCAGCATGGGGCTCAAACTTAAAACTCCAAGATCAAGAGTCACATCGTCCTCCAAATGATGCAGCCAGGTGCCCCACTTATTAATCAGTTTAAAAATAAATATTAGGTGGTCATTTTGACAAAAAGATGTTTAATACATGAAAACATTCATTAGTCCCGAAGTACACACTAGCCATAATACCACATCTGTGAACTACTTATAACCATTCTGAAGTTTTAACAAGAAATCCTGAAAAGAAAAGTGAAGAACCTCACCAATACGAAAAAGAAGAGATCAATTAAAAATGGAAAACATGGCATTTGACCACATATAGTCTCTGGTTTATCCATTAGGTGAACAGATATCTAGTAGGTAAAACTGAGAATAGAGTTTACAGACTCATATAAGAGTAAGTATTCTATGTCTCTCGATTTAGAATATCTGGAGAATAACTAACCCTGAAGGGTATCTCTTGTTGTGTGAATTTAGACAGTATGTAATACTCTGATACTCTGGATCCTTGTATCTCTAAATATCTAATCCAGGTGTCTATGGCTGACTCCTAGAGATTTAAGTGCAGAATTCACTGTCATAGAAGCAATGTAACATATAGGAATAAGGCATAGTTGACAAACACATTAGCACTACACTCTAGGCACACTTTATTTTTTTTTAAAGATTTTATTTATTTATTTGACAGAGAGAGAGATCACAACTAGGCAGAGAGGCAGGCAGAGAGAGGGGGGGAAGCAGGCCTCCCACCGAGCAGAGAGCCCGATGTGGGGCTCGATCCCAGGACCCTGAGATCATGACCCGAGCTGAAGGCAGCGGCCCAATCCACTGAGCCACCCAGGCGCCCCTCTAGGCACACTTTAAATTAAACACACTTTTCAGGCATTCTGAACTTTATACATAATTTTTTTTTAAATTTTCAAATGTAATTCATTGGTTGAAAACTGTCTCAAGCCTAGATTTAATGAGCCACAAGTTATCCAAATTCCTGAACTATTAACCTCAAAATAATAAGATATATCATAAGCCTGAAGTTAACATAGTACTGCAATGGACTATTAATTTCTATCTAAAAGTGTACTTTTCTTAATTTTAATTTTAATTTAATTTTAGATCATTTTCTATTAGTTTTTTTTGTCACCACTCAACAGAAACCTTTATTAAAAAATACTACCCAACTTAGTATTTCCAAGACAATTATTTTTACTTCAGAATAGGGTTTAAGTTAAACAGTCATGACAATCTTCAGTTTTAAACACCAGCCAGTTTCTTTTTTTTTTTTTTTAACTTTTTTTTTTTTTAATTTTATTTATTTATTTGACAGAGAGAGATCACAAGCAGGCAGAGAGGCAGGCAGAGAGACAGGAGGAAGCAGGCTCCCTGCTGAGCAGAGAGCCCGATGCGGAACTCGATCTCAGGACTCTGAGAACATGACCTGAGCTGAAGGCAGTGGCTCAACCCACTGAGCCACCCAGGCGCCCCACCAGCCAGTTTCTAACCAACATTACTCCTACTCTATATGCAGGGAACAAAGTCTTCTGGTTTGGAGCAAAGAAACGGAGACATCTTAACTCCTAAAATTAATAAAAGTATTTAAGGTATTTTTTTAAATTTATGTTTTCTAATTATGTTGTTTTCTCTCACATCAGAGAGGCACATGTTGGCAATAGGAGAAACAAAATCTTGATTAAACAAAGGTCTTAATTATAAAACAGGGAATGTTATATGAATCTACATTTTTATCCATGGGATAAAATCACAAGCGTTAGGCTGATGATGCTGAGATTTCCAGATTCCATTTTCTTCTTTTTCTTGTTAAATAATACACAAGTACTACATTCTGTTGTCCATAAACTTTCAAAGATTAGTGCTATATATTTTTTTAAAAGTCTTCAAAACCCAAGGATATGCACAAAAATTAGTGGTAAGAATGTGAATCTATTTTAATCCAATTTGTTAAAATTCCAAAAGCAGTTATTAACTATTCTCTCCAAAAGCATAAGCAGTATACATTTGGTATCTCTGCAATATTTCCTGCATTAACAATAGCCTAAGTGTTTCTTACAATACTGAAAATTTGAAACTACATAGACATCCAAGGATTGGGGACTGGTTAAATAAGATAATGTATATGATAACCAGATAATGAATATTTATGTAGCCAATAAAAGCTAAAATGTTTAGTACAAATTAAGTCACTAAATAGTGTGTACAGTATAATCTCATTTTGGTTTTAAAAAGATGTCTATGTTTACAGTGACAAGATCATGGGTGCTTCAATTGCAGTGCATTCTTCTTCTACACTGATTTTGTAATAATTTTTCCCCAGAATAAACTCTGTTTCAGATCAAAATGCAAATGCTACCTTAATTTCACAACAAAATAAAGCACAGAGGTGGAGTCAATAACTAACTCTAGATAGACTTAGCTGTAAACATTCATGGGTTCGGTGAACCAGGTGTAGGAAGTTGAATGATACCGGACTATCATGTTAAACTGGCAAATTGTTGACACTGAATTTTATGATTCAATACTTTCTGTAACCTATTTAGTTAAAATTCCAGAGAATTTTTGTTAGGAGGTAATTCTTCATGGGTCTCTACTGGCTCTACATGCCTTACAAGCAAGACATTCACTGCTCTATGCTCTCGCCTATTGTCTCAAAAATGTATGTAGAGTGAAAAGTCTTGAAAGGCATGTTTATTGTTCAGTATAATAAATATGGTTCCCTAAGCTCAGGGTTCCTGTCCTGTAAGGCAACACACTCCACTTGCAGGTGACTTCTGGGCCGCTTTACATCACCCTGTGGGACTTGGAGCAAAACTGCTCATAGTCAGTCTACTGTTAATGCTGTATGTAGGTAATCCATCTCTGCCTAGGAGTCTGTGTCTTCTACAGAACTGTGGCAGGCTAAGTTGTTAGCCTGCAAGTGGGATAAAAATCTCTGACCCTTCCCAGCTTTTGACATTTTTACAACCATGCTTTCAAAAAACAAACAAACAAACAAACAAACAAAACCATCAATACTATATGTGCAAAAGCTAATTTCTGTCAACAAGTACTTTATTAATCCTTTCATACTTACCAGCATTATTACGGTGGAACATCTGATAGAAAATCTAAAGAAAAACAGTACAACTACGTGTTAGAACTCTAGTGATTAAAAATCTTACCTCCTTTCATTTTGAGGGACTCTAGTTTGATGCCTCATGTGTAGGTGTCCTAGCCGACTAGCTTATAATGAAATCATTTGTACTTCGATGTGTCAGAAAAGGATCTTCTGAAACCTAGCCTGCATCCACTCTCAACAGTTTTTTGCGTCCTTCGTGGTCTGACTAGTCCCACAGATACATTCAGTTTTACTATACTGTATTTACCGAGCAAATTAAAATGTCTTAAAGGTCCTAACATGAATGTTCTGGACGATATCCAAGTTTTAACATTTCTTTTTTTTTTTTTTTTTTTTTTTAGATTTTTTTTATTTTTTTATTTGACAGAGAGAAATCACAAGCAGGCAGAGAGGCAGGCAGAGAGAGAGGAGGAAGCAGGCCCTGCTGAGCAGAGAGCCCGATGCGGGGCTCGATCCCAGGACCCCGAGATCATGACCTGAGCCGAAGGCAGCGGCTTAACCCACTGAGCCACCCAGGCGCCCCTTAACATTTCTCTTTTTAAAAAAATATATAAGCTTCATCTAACCTGGTTCATGGCTTAGAAACCTAAGTATTTAAAAACAGATTTTCTGTCCATGATTCTCTGGGTATCTATGGAAGGGAGGCCTCTGCCCTCCACCTTCCACCCGCGGAGGTCTGTGGGCCGCGCACACCAAGCCCAGGCCTCGTTCTCCCACACACCTGCAGGGTCCGCACTGAACGTAGGCGCAGGCACCTTGCTGGGGTCATCCCCTGTGAGGAGCGCGCTGGATGAGGATGGGAGCGCCGGGCCGGGTCCCCAGGGCTCCTCCTGACCCAGACCAGGTGCCAGCAGCAGCCTTGCCTCCGCGCCGCTCCCGCGGACTCTGCCCTCCGACCTCGTTCCTCTGCCTGTCAGTGAGGGTAACCCAACAGGCACGCCGGGCCACGACTTCCCGCGCAGGCGCAGTCCCTGTTTCCCAGCCCAATGGCCGGTGGCAGCGCGCTCGCCGGTCCGCCGTCACTTCCGGCGGCGTTGCTAAGCAACTGTGCAGTTTGGCAAACATTCGGCGGGCTGGGGTGCTACTCGCCCAGCATCGGGTCGCCTTTCCAAGTCACAAAGCGCCACAGTCACCTACCTCGTTAGAGATGCTGGTGCGGTTTGGAAGGCGCTGTGGACGGGCGAAGGAAGATACAGGTGAGGTAAACTGGCCTATCTAGGCACAGGGATTGTTTCTGGCCTCCAGGCATAGGGAGGCATAGGGTAAGGGTGGCAAATGAAAGTATTGGTTACTTTTTGAAAAGGGTTCAACCAACTCGAAAGCTTCCCCACAGGGCATCATTGGGCTCTGTGTAAATGGACGGTTTTGCCTTCAGATGAATAGGTGGGTGGGAAAAGCTTACACAAATAGAAGCGGAGAAGAGGTAAGTCATAGACTCCCAGTTGACCGTCTGGTCTGATCCTCAAACTGCAGTAGCAGCTCCAAGAGTCTGGTGTTTGCTGAATTCCCTTAAGCTTTTGTTATTCACTGAGTGAATTGGAATATCTTTTGGAAATATCAGTGACCTCATTAGAGTCTTGGCTGTGCTGTGAACCTACTGAGTGCTCTTAGCAAAGTCTCTAATGGCAATGTCTCGAGTTCCTCATCTCTAGAGTGAAGAAGTATAAAAAATAATTCTACTTAGATAGTGTAATCTAGATGACCTGTTATAAAAAATCTGATTTTTGAATAGAAGTAGCCTAGGGGGACATCTAAAGAACTCTTTAGCAATTCCAATGATTTTATTTTCTTAAGTCTAAATTCCCAATTAATGTTGTCATGGTGACCACTTGAACCTTGGGAATTTGGACTTTCTTCATGTCATTGCCTGAACTTCTGTAGCAGTAGCGCCTCTTTATGCCAGATGTAGAGTGAGGGCCAGCCATTAACTCACCAGTGGACACTAATGGGTATTTCTGCAGTGAAGGACCATGAAGTAGCAGCAGAAGGTCCTGACTGGTTGGAGAGAGAAAGTACCCATATGACATGTATTGAAAAAACACAATTAGTCTCACATACTCACTGTCTCATATACAAAGTACTACAGTAAAAGTACTTTGATTTATCTGATAGATGTTAAATAATGTTTTGTGTCATTCAGTCCAAAAGTTACCATCTGAGGGGTACCTGACTGGCTCAGTCGGTAGAGCATGTGACTCTTGATCTCCAGGTCGTGAGTGTGAACGGCATGTTGGGTGTGGAGATTACAAATAAGTGAACAAAAAAAGGTACTATCTGAGCCTTACTACTAAATTATAATCTCCATCTAGAAGAGGGTGAAGTAGGAGAGGGGCTCAGGTATGTAGACAGCTATCTGTAAAACGATTATCTAAAGATTTAGTGGGGTGACATCAGCCAGTAAAATGATTATCTAAAGATTTAGTGGGCTGACATCAGCCAGAAATCCATTTTGGAGATAACAATCTCCAAAAGTCCTCCTCTTTATTAAATGAAAAAGAACACTGACCAAAAAACAAAAACAAAAACCTATCAGAACCAACATTCTTTTGAGAACTCAGGAAATTAACCAAAGGCTTGCAATAACTGGGAAGTGTTTATCGGGAAAAATAGCTAAATCTTGGTAACAACAGTATGTTTTTTGCCATTTTAACTTGCTCTAATCCCATATTTTTCTCCTAGCCCCATGGAGGTCTAGAAAACCATTGCTACCACAGTGAAATCCAGTGGCTTAGTAATATGGGGGGGGCGGAACAGGATTGGATCCTTTCCAAATCTCCCCCCTTTTTAAGATAACTGTTATTTGACCTGTCTCACAGTTCCCTGGAAAATCCCACTCACAAGGCTTGACTTTATTTGACCTGACTCCGAGTTCACTGGGTATACTTGTTAAAATGATCAGTAGCAATTTTTTTTTTAACATCACAGCTCTCTGATATAGTGGTAACTGTTGGTACAAACAACAAACTAACCAAAAAACTTAAGAAGAATACCTGGGAAATGAGATGTCCATAGGGGGCTGAAGATCCTACTTATTCCTGGGAATCCATAAGGACAAATGCATGCATCGTGCTGTGCACATGCCCAGGAAATACCTGAGAATGAAGCTTTCACCTCTGGCTGAATTTGAGGCTCTATGCAAGAAAAAGTAAAGGCTAACACAGAGTTGTAAACTATCTGCCTGAGCATTGAAATCATGCTGCACCAATCACAGAACATTTCTTAGCTAAGTCTGGGAAACTTATTTAAGGAAATAAAATTTAATTTAAGGAAACTCTGTCCAGTTATTAGCTGACAACTAAACTAACCAAGCTGAAATTCCAATAGCCACATACAATAAAGAATATAGACTTCACAGGTTTAGTTCCGGAAAAGCACTAAACAACCACAACAGCAAAAACAGAGCAAAAAATATTGCTGTGTGAGGGGAATCTAACATCTAGACTTACCATATATTGTTTAAAATGACAAGGTATGCAAAGAAATAAGAAATTATGTCCCAAACAGGAAAAAGTTTTTTTTTTTTTAAAGATTTTATTTATTTATTTATTTATTTGACAGAGAGAGAGATCACAAGTAGGCAGAGAGGCAGGCAGAGAGAGAGGAAGAAGCAGGCTCCCCAATGAGCAGAGAGCCCGACGTGGGGCTCGATCCCAGGACCCCGAGATCATGACCTGAGCCAAAGGCAGCAGCTTAACCCGCTGAGCCACCCAGGCGCCCCCCAAACAGGAAAAAGTTTTAATAGGAATTGTTCCTGAGGAAGCCAGATGTTAGACTTCTAAGCAATATTCTTGTGTAGATTTATAGCTATTATAAATATGTTCAAAGAACTAAATGTCAGAGGAACTACAGGAAAATATTAAGAATGCTGTCTCACAAAATAGACCATATCAATAAAGAGATAGAAATTATAAACAGAAACCAAGTAGAAATTTTCAAGTTGAAAAGCACAGTGGTTTAAATGAAAAATTCACTACAGGATATCAATAGCAGGTGACTGTGGAGAAGAAAAATTCCATGAACTTGAACATATTTGATTGAGGTTGTTCAGTCTAAGAAATAGGAAAAAAAAAAAAGAATGAATAAAAATGAGCAGATCCTCAGAGGAATGTAGAACACAAACAAGTATACCAACATGCGTGCAATTTGAGTCTTAGAAGGAGAAGAGAGAAAAGGGTAGAAGAAAACATTCGAAGAAATAATGATTGTAGACTTCATAAATTTGATGAAAAACATTACATATAGAAGAGCTCATTGTCTGAATAGAATAAATTAAAACAGATCCAGAACCAGACATAGCTTGATGAAACTGTCAAAAGACAAAAGCAATAGCAGAATATATGTTCCTTTCAAATGCACATAGAACATTCTTCAGGATAGACCATATAACAGGTTATAAAACAAGCCTTTATACATTTAAAAGGATAGAAATAATACAAAATATATTATCCAAACACAGTGGAATGACTTAGAAATCAATAATAGAAATTGGGGGAATTCACAAGTATGAAGAAATTAAATGCTTTTAGGTTTTAAAAAATGGGTCAAAGAAGAAACCATGCAAATCAAAACCAAAATAAATGGTGGCTGTATGATGACTAACATAATTAAAAAACGGTGGTTGTTAGAATGGCTATTATCAAAAAGATAAGAAATAACAAATGTTGGTGAGGATGTGGAGAAAAGGGAAGCCTTGTGCACTCTTGTTGAAAATGTAAATTAGTGCAGACTCTATTGAAAACAGTATGCAGGTTCCTCAAAAATTACAAATAGAATTACCATAGGATCCAGAAGTTCCACTTCTGGGTAGTTATCCAAAGAAAATGAGGACACTAATTCAGAGAGATATCTGTACCCCCATGTTCATTGCAATATTATTTACATATGTTAGAATATGGAAACAACCTTAAATGTCTATTAATGGGTGAATAGGTAAAGAAAATACGGTTTATATGTACAAGAGAATATTATTTAGACCCAGAAAAGAAGAAAATCTTGCCATTGCAATAACATGGACTTTGAGGGGAATAAGTCGGACAGAGAAAGACAAATACTGTATGATGTCATTTATATATGTGGAATATAACAAACAAACAAAAAACTCCACAAAACCTTCCCAAAAACCAGACTCATAGAGAACAGACTGGTGGTTGCCAAAGGCAGGAGATGGGCAGTGGGAGAAATGGTGAAGGAGGTCAAAAGGTACAAACTTGAAGTTATTATAAAATAAATAAGTCCTGGAGATGTAATGTATAGCATCGGGACTATAGTTAATACTATATGGCATAACTGAAACTTGCTAAGACAGTAGATCTTTAAAGTTCTTGTCACAAGAAAAAGATCCTAATATGCTTAACAATATGTTAATCAAAAGGTAGATGGTTTAACCTAGTAACCTTTGTTTAGTTAGCCTTAATTGCAAGTAGCACAAATCAAGTTGAGCCAGTTTAGGCAAAACAAAGGAAATTTGTTACAAGGATGTATTTGTCAGGACTCTGGTTACAAGTGACTAATCAAACTCATGATAGTTAAAACAAAGGGGACTATTTTGGCTCACATAGCTGGGGATTTATTTTTTTTTTAAAGATTTTATTTATTTGTTTGACAGAGATCACAAGTAGGCATAGAGACAGGTGGGGAGGTGGGGGGTGAGGGAAGCAGGCTCCCCACTGAGCAGAGAGCGGGATGCAGGCCTCGATTCCAGGACCCTGAGATCATGACCTGAGCTGAAGGCAGAGGCTTAACCCACTGAGCCACCCAGGTGCCCCATATAGCTGGGAATTTAGGTATAACTCAATCCAGGACACTATTCTACTTCCCAGCTTTGCGTAGCTTATTATGCGGGCAGAGACTTGGTATGTGATAGGCAAGATTGTACGTATGGTTCTAAACTCACACTTTAGCAACCAATTCCTCAATCCCATCAACCTTAATTCAATCCCCAAGGAGACTCTAATTGATCCTGGCAGCTTTTCTCTCAGTGTCTTTATCTCTTTCTGAAGTCATGTGATTTCCGGCTTCTGCTTTTCTCCCTACGTCTGTTTCATTCACCTTAAAATAAAAATAGTAAACATAATAGCTAACATATATTGAGAACATACTGTGTGCCACATCCTATTCTAATTTTTTTTACATATATAACTTCATTTAATTCTCACATCAACCACATAAAGTAGGCCCTATTAATATCTCCATTTTGCAGTTAAGGAATTCGAGAGTTAAATAATTTTGACTAGATTTACATAATTCATATGTGGTATGTTCCTTTATGATGCTTTTTAAGTCATATATAGAATACCCAACTCAATCATATTTAAAAATAAGGAAATTTATTTGCCCATGTAACAGGAACTCCAGGCTTCAGGTCTGATTGATTTGGCATTATAATGAGATACTCATTGCCCCACATTCCTCCTTTGTTTCTCCTTTGTGGTTCACAGTAATAGCTTCACTGTAAGACTGCTTCCTTTTGTGATCATAGGATGGTTGTCTGTCTGTTCTTTATGTCTCCTTGGTCATATCTAGTTTAAGAGTCACTCTCAGATGTCTCTCCCAGAAGAACAAGAAAGAACCTTTCTAAAAGTCACAGATAAATCTCTTTTCCTTTTGTTTGCTTATTACAGAAATAATTATTGGCAAAGGAGATGCAAGTATTCTTAAACTAATGAGGCCCACCCTGAGACCGTAGTTTTCCAAATTACATTGCTGCTACTCAATTAGGAAGGGATTGAATAGAGTCAATGATGATGTCCACAACTTCTAAAGATGAACATTCCCCCAAATTATCCATTTATAGACTGCTACTTGGTCAGTTTTTAAAAAATGTTTTAATAACAGCCTGTTGGGGTAGATATTGATCTCAACTTTAAAGATGTTGATACTGAGTCTCCAAAAAGTTGAATGACTTATCTCAGTTTACAGAGTAAGGAAATGACCAAGGGAAGACTCAAATCTGTCTTTTGATTCCAAGTTCTTATATATTTTGTGCTTAATCTCAGTGTTCTTAAACTAACAAGAATAAAATTATTTAAAATAATTTCCAGATATCATGACAATATAGAAATGTCTGAGAAAAAACATTTAAACTCTTGAAAGTCTTTAACATTCATTCTTTAAAATTTATTAGAAATAAAGAACTCTGAAGAAGATCAAGCTCTCTATCCACCTCTTCTACCTAGCAAGGTAGATCTCCGGGAGGTTACCATAATTCCACAGAATGAGTGGAAAAGGATTCAAGATAGCCTTGATAGTTTGACAAGAGAAGCAGCATGTCTTCGTGCAGAAAGAAAGGCAAAGAAAGAAATGCATTTCCGATCCCAAGAAGTGGTAAAACATTGGACTAACACATATGCAGTAAGTATTAATCACCCGGGAGTACACATGCACTAAAGACTCACTCTCTTTTCTTAGTACTTTTTTTCTATGTTTTTTTTAACATGTAAAATACCATAAAAAAATACTTTGAAACACATTCTCAACAGCTTTATTTAGGAGAAGTGACACAATAAAGTAGACATATTTAAAGTGTACAATTTGATAAGTTTTGGCATAATTACACACCCCTGAAACCATTATAATTAAGATAATGAACATACTCATCACCCAAAGTTTCCTCGTACTCAGTTTACTGCTTCTCATTCCTCCTCACTCTTTTTCAGACAACGGATCTGCTTGCTTCCTTTTTTTTTTTTTTTCAAGATTTTATTTTTAAGTAATCTCTACACCCAATGTGGGGGTTGAACTCACAACCCTGATATCAAAAGGCGCATGCTCCTTCGACTAAGCCAGCCAGGCAGCCCTGATCTGCTTTCTTTTCTTTTCTTTTCTTTCTTTCTTTCTTTTTTAAAGATTTGTGTATTTATTTAACAGAGAGAGAGAGAGCACACCTGTGCAAGCAGGAGTCGGGGGAGGGGCAGAGGGAGAGAGAATCTCAAGCAGACACCCCGCTAAGCACAGAGCCGAATGCAGGGCTCCATCTCACTATCCTGAGATCATGACTTGAGCTGAAATCAAGAGTCCATCACTTAACTGACTAAGCCAGCCAGGCGCTCCTGCCCTCAGCTGCTTTCTATTATAAATTTCATTCAATGTAATTGTTTTGAAATTCTTTCATGTTGTTGTGTATATTAATCATTCATTCATTTTTATTGCTGAGTAGTAGTATTCCCTTGTATGGACGTACCACAGTTTGTTTATCTGTTCAATGGTTGATGGTTTTGGCATCAACCAAATGTTGATATATGAGCTGTTTCCAGTTTGGAGCTATTATAAATAAAGCTGCGTATGAACCTTCATGTGTAAGTTTATTTGTGGACATACACTTTTACTTCTCTAGGGTAAATATCCGGGTAGAATGGCTGGATAATATGATGGTTGCATATTTAACTTTGTAAGAAACTTTTGAACTGTTTTCAAAAGTAGTTCTAATTTTAAACTCCCATAAGAGTATAAGTGTTCTATTTTCTCTACATTCTTGCCAACTTTCTATGGTCCATCTTTTTAATTATAGACATTCTAATAGGTGTGAAGTAGTTTTAATTTGAATTATAATTTGAATTTGAATTCCTCTGATTATAATGATGCTTAACATCTTTTTATAAACTTATTTTCTATTGTATATCTTCTTTGGTGAAGTGTTTATTGAAATCTTTTGCACATGCTTAAATGGGGTTTGTTTTGGCATGCACGTAGGTGGCTCAGTTAACTGAGTGTTTGACTCTTGGTTTCACCTCAGGTCATGATTTCAGGGTCCTGGGATCAAGACCCGAGTCGGGTTCTGTGCCCACCGCAGAATCTGCTTGAGATTCTCTCTCTCTCAGTCTGTCTCTCTTTAAAATAAATAATTAAATATTTTTAAAAATAAATGGGGTTTGTTTTCTAATTTTTATTATTAAGTTTAGGGAATTTTAAAAATATATTCTGAATACAGATCCTTTATTAGATATTTGATTCAAAAATATTTTCTCCCAGCTGTGGGAATGGACACAGAAAGCTTATAGTACCTTGCTTTAGGAATAGTGTTCATAATTTATTCTTTTTTTCTAGAAAAGGGAAAAATGTCACAACTGATATCATGTATTACATATATTACATGTAATATATGCACTATATGTAACATACACATTACATATATATTACATATGTGTGATCGTACATATTTTATAATATATCACATATTATATTACATATATAACTATATATATTACATTAAATATTACATATATATGTTACATTCTAAAAAATGCGAAACTACAGGGAAAGAAAACAGATCTGTGGTTGCCAGGGATTGCAGATGGGGGAGTGGTTGGTATACCAGGGCATGAGCTCCATGAGGATGGAACTGTTCTATAAGTGACTATGCATTTGTAAAACTATACAAGGGGGTATGTAAATTGTGCTCCTAAAAACTTGATTTTAAAGAAGTCCCTGATCCATAAAGGGATGGGGGAGTAGAATATACCATATAAATAAACAGAAGTAACACACTGTATATAATGCTTTGTATCTCCATGGATGTTAACGAATAAGAAGAAATATAGTAAATGTGGTAGAAATGTAGTAGTAAAAACTGTTTTATAGGCACAGAGATTGACAAAATAATAGACCAGAAGAGAGAGCCTAGAAAAACTCACATGTTATATATGGGAACTTGACATATGACAGAAATGTCAGTCAAGTCAGAAGGGAAAGGATTGGGTATTCCATAACTAGTACTGAGATAATTGGCATATGGAAAGATGAAATTATATCCTTATGGTATAGAATATACAAAAATGAATTTCAGCTGGATGAAAAACCCAGATGTGAAAAGTAAAACAGTAAAAAATTTAAAATAAATCATAGAATATCTTCAGGATTTTAGGGTAAAGTAAGGTTTTCTTAAGACATACGAAGTATGACCCATAGAGGAGAAGAAAGACTTCATCTGACATGACACATTGGATAGACTCCTCATAGATGTAGAAGAGCATGTAAATATGCTACTGTTGATTTTTTAAAGGAATAAAAATAGTAATATATATATTTATATAAATATGGAAAGGAACTTCGGAAGCAAATATAAGAAACTAATAATAGTGGTTATCTTAGAGATTGCTGGTGGAAGCTAGGATTAGAGGGAGAACTTCACTGTATATCTTTACAATATTTTGGGGTTTTGAACCATGTAAACATGTTACCTACCCAAAAAATTCAATTAAAATATTAGCTTATAAGTGTAACATCTTTTTATTTATTAATAATATATGCAAATACAATAAAAACTCATAATGAAAGCTCAAATTATTTTGTTATATGTAATGTTAAATTTTATGAAATTGAGTTGAAAAACGAAAATAGAAGACTGATTTTTTTTCTTTTTTTAGGGGATGAAAGAACAGAAACTTGAAGCCAAAAAGAAGCGTGATGAAGAAGTAGAGGCAGAAAGACAAATTCTTGATTTAGAGGAGGAAATACACAAACAAGGAGAAAGAAAAAAGGCTATTGAATTTGCAAAGCAATATCAATTGTACCAGACAGAAAGAGTGAAACGCTTTCATGTACTACTTGGGTTTTCTTGTATTTCTCTCTATATTTAATGTTATCTATACATAATTAGACTTTATTTTCTTAAAATGCCACAATTTTTTTTTTTTTTTTGTAGTCAGGACTTCTTCTTAGTAGAGCTATGAAAGAACGTGATGCACAGATTGAATTCCAAAAGAATAAAATAAAATCAGATGAAAAATGGGAAGAACAATTGAAACTCAGCATTGAAAAATCTTTTAAGGAAGAAAAAGAAAAAGCAGAAAAACAACGCAGAGATAGAATGGCTCTTGCCAATGATCATTTAAAACAGTATGTATATATAAATTACCTTTTTTGTATCTTATCTTTCTCACAAAAGCTTTTTTTTTCAGATTATAAAAGTAATACATGCTGAAATACCTAGTAAGTAGAAAAAATACAAAGAAGGGTTAAAAAATCTCTATTACTCTTACCCAGAGATAATATATTAGTTACTATTGTCACAATAATGCTGCATAACAAACAGTCACACAATCCAGTGGCATTCAGCAATAACCATTTATTTCTCACGCATCTGTGGGTTATTTTGGCCCAGCTGTACAGCTTTTCTGCACACTACAGAACTGGTTGGGTTTGCTGGTTGCTGTAGAGAGGGCTCTGATCTGTTCCATGTATGTTCATTTTTAAGATCCAGGATGAAGGGACAGTAGCCACTTGGGGAAACTTTTCTCATGGTATTGACAAAGATATAAGAGAATGAGCCTGAGCTTAAAAGAATGTGGCTAAACTCAAAGGCAAAGTCAAGGAAGTGCACTTGATCTACCATAAGGCTAAAGCAAATCATATGGCCAAGTCTAACAAGCATGGAATAGAGAAATAGACTCCAATGGAAATGGCAAGTGAGAGAGTGAGTCTTTTTGACCAATAATCTAATCTACTGCAATAATCTGTAATTTTTTTGGCATGTTGGTATATAGCCATATAGATATTTTTTGGTGGTGGTGGAGGGGGTCAGAGTCATTGAGCTGTAATTTACATTTACTAATAAAATTCACCTTTTAAAAAGCATATAGCTATATAACTACCCCAAAGTCAAGATATAGAATACTTCCAGGACCCCAAAATTTCCCTCATGCCCCTTTGCACTAAGTTCTATTCTTCACCCTCAGGCCCTGGCAATCTTTGAGCCACTGCTATAGACTTTTTTTCTGAGCATATATACTCATATTTTATAAAATGGAATCAGATCAACAGTATCATTGGATATTTTTTCACTTACTAGTATATTATGAGCTTTTGCTATGTCAGTAAATAGAAATCAAACCTGAACTCTTTCAAAGAAGTAGCTACTATATATGTCAGGAGAGGGGATTGTATTTGTGTATAATTTTACTTACTTTCCTAAACAGCTGATACATGCAAATAGGAAAAGGCACAAAGGGGATTCAGTAAAAAGTCTGTTCCTCATCTGCTGGCCACCTTGTTTTTTCAATGTGAGACTTACCAGTTTCTTTACATTGTAGTTTAAATGTGCATAGATCGTTTTAAATTTCAAACAATAAACATTTTAAACAATATTATACTTTTTTTTTTAAAGATTTTATTTATTTATTTGACAGATAGAGATCACAAGTAGACAGAGAGGCAGGCAGAGAGAGAGAGGAGGAGGCAGGTTCCCTGCTGAGCAGAGAGCCCGATGCGGGGCTCGATCCCAGGACACTGGGACCATGACCTGAGCCGAAGGCAGAGGCTTTAACCCACTGAGCCACCCAGGCGCCCCCAACAATATTATACTTTTAAAGAAAAAATTATTTTTGTACTTAAACATATTATTAAGATATGATCATTATAGAATTACAAAATACAATAAAACAAAATGAAAATTAAAATCAGTAGAAACTGGGGCACCTGCGTGGCTCAGTGGGTTAAAGCTCTGCCTTCAGCTCGGGTCATGATCCCAGGCTTCTGGGATCGAGCCCCACATCAAGCTTCCTCCTTTCTCTCTACCTGCCTCTCTGCCTAGTTGTGATCTCTGTCTATCAAATAAATAAATAAATAAATAAATAAATAAATAAAAATCTTTAAAAAATAAAAATAATAAAAATAAAATCACTAGAAACTGTGATCCAAAGCAGGTACTGTTAATGTTTGGGCATATATTTGTCTACTTTTCAAAGTTTTTTTTTTTAATTTTGCTAATATGAAATGAATATATACTTGTTAAAATTTGATACAGCAAAATTTGGAATAAAATTGAAAAACCCATCTTCATATTCACCCTTTCAGTGTCTCTTTAAGTCCCATTTTCCTTTTCACAAATAGCCATTATTAATAGTTTGGGACAAAAATAAATAAATAAATAGAAGAAATTCTATTTTGTGACTACCCCTTCAGAATGTTCTGTTGCTATTACTAATATCTGTATACAGGGCATATATAAGTGTGTATATATTTTTAACCATGAATGTTTTACAATGTATTTTTCTGTGACTTCATTTTTTTCAATCAAAAATATACCTTGAATATCTTTTTTACCAGAATATATGGATCTGTCGCATCTTTTAAAATAATCTTATTGTACATTAAGGATGTACCATTATTTGTTTAACTGTGTTATTATTGAGGGAAGTTTGGATTTTTCCCTCCTCCTTTTCTAACAATGCTGTAGTGAACATCCCTGACCTTATGTATTTTGTGACTTTTGTCCAAAGATGGAGTTATATAGAGTAGTTTTTTTAAACTGAGCTTGGATTTTACATGTGGAGAGATACTGCCTTTGAGAAGGCTTTAAATATGTAATCATCACTGATCTCTGGTACTCATTTTATGTTATAATCAATGCTGGGCAGTAATTTTTTCAAAATTTAATGGACCAGGGTGCCTGGATGACTCAGTCATTAGGCATCTGCCTTCGGCTCAGTCATGATCTGAAGGTCCTGGGACCAAGCCCTGCATTGGGCTCTCCGCTCTGCAGGAAGCCTGCCTCTCCCTCTCCCACTCCCCCTGCTTATGTTCGCTCTCTCACTTGTCTCTCTGTCAAATAAATAAAATATTTAAAAAAATAATTTAATGGATCAAAAAGTAATATCTCTTAATTTATATTTCTCTCAATTTCTAGTGAGGCAAGTTATTTTTTCATGTGTAAATATTCATCTGTTTTGGTTTTTGTTATAAATTGGTTACTCCATTGTTCTCTTATGTAGGTTGTTTCATATTGATGTGTACGTTTTTCATTGATTAAAAACTGATTAAAAAGCAGTTTTTATATATGTTGGATATTACTCTTTATTAGACATATTGCAGATTTTTGTCATCATTTCTGAATGTTTTTAGTATTTTCTTTTTAAAGATTTTAAGTAATCTCAATACCCAGCATGGGGCCCGAACATACAACCCTGAGATTGAAAGTCATGTGCTCTACCAACTGAGTCAAGCAGGTGCCCCTGAATGGTTTTAGTATTTAGAAGATACTAATTTTTTAAAAAGATTTTTATTTATTTATTTGACAGGAAAAAAGAGAGCAAGCAGGGGGAACAGCAGGCAGAGGGAGAAGGAGAAGCAGGCTCCCCACTGAGCAAGAAGTCCAACTTGGGGCTCGATTCTGGGACCCTGGTATCATGACCCAAGCTGAAGGGAGATGCTTAACCATCTGAGCCACCCAGGTGCCCCAAGAAGATACTAATTTTTATGTGCTTAAATCTGTCTCTTTTTGTTATTATGGTTTTGTGTGTGTGTGTGTGTATTTTTTTTTTCTCATGGTCACAAATGTCTGAGTGACACAGATATTGATTCTCAGGATACATGTATTGCCATATTGTGTAGTCTTCATTTCTTGTAGTCTTCATCTCTTAGTAAAAAGAGAAGGGGAAGCCTCTGGATTTTTTGTAATTTTTTCTTTGTCAGTGTCGAGCCCCAAGGGTTTATACAAGTCAGGAACAGAGCCATTGGCAGACAGAGGCAAATATTTGAGCAGTGTGTCACCTTTGAGAAATCTCTCTTATGTTGGCTGTTGTGGCTCTGAGATAATTGCAGGTAGCAGACTGATCTCCAGGAAATCACCTGGCAAGTGGTAACACCTTCACAGGCCATCTACCTACCTATAACCTTTGCATGTAGGCTGTGATCAGGCCAACAGGATCCCTTTCCATGGGGGTCTTTCCATGTGCTTTCCATGTGCTGGTTAGAGGTTCCAGCAGGTCTAAGGTTTGTTTGTTTCTTTGGCTTATCTTCAGTGTAGTCTAGGAGATGTTGATTGGGCTCTGAGGTCACCTTAAATTCCTTTCTTTTTCCTGGTGGGCTTTGTCTTTGTGAATGATGTCCAAATATTACTTAACTTGATTGTACTCTCGAGTGCCCTGTTTTTTTTGCTGAAATTTCTTGAAAATTCAAGTATAAGGTAAGACTTTGCTTTATTTAGTTTCTAGTAGTGGTATAGAATTTCTTCCATTCTATTTGTTGCATTATGGGGACTTAGGAAGGGAAGGCTATTTGACATGTGGGTTTGGGTTGCCAATTTGCAAATTTCCATAAGTTCTATATCTTAAATTTATTAAGAAACATTCAATTCTGTAATTGAGGACTACAAAGGAAAATGCAAATCTATTATTATAAATTTTTTTAGGTATATGAATTTATAGAATTATCACCAAGTAGTATTGTGTTGGATGTTGATTCATGTGTCAGTTTTATACAATTCAGAATGTATGTCACTTAAGATACTGTAGGAATGGTAATGAGCCCATAAAAAGCCTCTTGAAGTGAACAATAGAACTGGAATACTAACACTGGTATTAACCTGAATAGATACAGAGGACCATGTGATAGAAGAGAGAGGAGGAGAGTGTTTACCCCCACTTTCTTGAATAATAAGAGTCTATTCAGGGGCACCTGTTTAGCTCAGTTGTTAGAGCATGGGACTTCTCACCTGAGGGTTGTGAGTTAGAGCTGCATTTTGGGTGTGGAGCCCTATTTAAAATTGAAAAGAAAAAAAATTTAAGAGTCTATTGGGGGGAAAATTTTTAAGATAGGCTATTTTTTCATTCATTAATAAATTCATTCATCCAATCATCCACTCATTGTTATAAATATTTATTGGACAATCTCCGTTTGCCAGCCACTATTCTAGTAACTGAAGATGCGAAAATGAATACAATTATCTTTTTTCTTTAAGAAGTTTACAATCTGGGGAGGAGGGTATAAATACGGAACAGATAGTTAGGGTATGATAGTAGATATTTTGGCAAATATACATACAGGGTATGTGGAAGCATATAAAATGGACATCTGATCCAGTCTAGAGAAGGGGCTAATTTTTAGAAAAGATCAGTTCTAGCACCAAAGTGTGAAAACTGAGCAGGAATAAGTCCTGCATAGTGGAGATGTAGAAGTATTTTAAGCAGAGGAAATAGCAGGGGTGAAGTCCCAGAAGTGAGTTAAAGTATGGTGGGTTTAGGTAACTACAAGTAGGCAAGAGGACTATAATAAGAGGCCTAAGAGAGTAGTGTTAAAGATGAGATTGGGGAGAGGCAAGGGCCAGGTCATGATGTGCCTTGTAGGCCGGGTGTATACGGCATGCCAAAATTTGGAATGACTTTCCACTTTGAGCAAAGACCATATTTTAATCACAAAGAAATGGAAACTAGAGGATACCAAGAGGCAACACTCTTTTCCATGCCCTGGTAATTGTACTACCAAGTGCTATTCAGGTATTACCTGGTGGTGATTTAAAATATGTCCACACATTCTTTAATACTCCTCCCTTCAGAGGGTGGAGTCTAATTCCTCCCTCCCTTGAGTGATGGCTATACAGAGTAACTCATTTCCAGTGAAGAGAATGAGTAGAAGTCATGAAGTGTAACATCCTGAGAGAGATTAGGATATAAAAGGCATTGTGGGAAATTGGAAGGGGAGGAGAACCATGAGAGACTACGGTCACTGAAAAACAACCTGAGGGTTTTGAAGGGATGGGGGTGGGAGGTTCGGGGAACCAGGTGGTGGGTATTGGGGAGGGCACGTATTGCATGGAGCACTGGGTGTGGTGCAAAAACAATGAATACTGTTACACTGAAAAGAAATTAAAAAAAAAAAAAAGGCATTGTGACTTCCCTCTTGTTATCTTGGATCACTCATTCTTGAGGATGCCATGGCATAAGGACACTCAGGCAGCTCTATGTAGAAGGTCCATGTGGCAAGGAGCTGAGGCTTCCTGCCAAGAGATATTTAAAAATGGGTTCTCCAGCCTCAATCAAGCCTTCAGGTATCTATTACTCCAACTAACATCTTGACTGCAACCTCTGGAGAACCACCCAGCTAAGTTACTCCCAGATTCCTGAATCTCAGAAATGGTGTGAAACAATAAATGTTTATTATTTTAATCCATTAAATTTAGGGGTTACTACTCAGCAATGGATAACTAAAACACACTGTATGATTGCTGGTCCTGGGCCTGAAAGAGAGATTTCCTACATTTTTAAAACAATCTCTAAGTGCAGACTTGGGCAGTCTATTCCATTGTTGGGCTTTCAGCAGTCTAAGAATCTGCCTGTCGCTCACAGCCCAGTGGGCATAATGAGGATGGGGCAAATGAGGGACCGTACTGACACCAAAATCCCCAAACGGAGGGGTTTTGACCAAGAAGCTTAACCATAATTATTGAAAAGAAATTAAATAATATCTATAGATACTGCATATAATTCTATTTCCTTCTATTGATAGGTAAGACTTTCTCTGGGAAGAAGCCAATAGACCTTGCTTAAGAACAACCCAGTTACTGTTAATCTATCTCATCAGCTTCTCAGAAGAAGGAAAAATCATCATAGGATAGTTTGCATCACTTTCCCTTGGATCAGATCATCTAGAGAAAAAGCAGAGAGATGAGGGCTTAAGTGATCATCATCCATTCCTAATGATTAGAAACCCATCTTAAATCTAATAACTTCCACATTTTTAACTCTTATTCAGACCACTCCTTTGAGTCCCAGATTTACATATCCAACTGCCTTTAAGACATCTCCATTTGGAAGTCTCAAAGATATAAAAAATCTTAAATGTCTAATATGAAATAAAATTTTGATTCTCCACCCTCACAGTGGACTTTCTAAAAGTTGCATCTTTATCCACTCAGTTGTTCAAATCAGAAACCTAGGAATACACCTCAGTTCTTCATGTTCCTTTATTTTCCACATCAAATCTATCAGCAACTGATGTTGAATTTTTTTTCTCCAAAATGAATCTTAAAATTACTGCTGTCATATTAGTCCAGACACCCTCATGTCCCATGGATTACTGCCTCAACTCCTTAACTGGCCTCCTGTTCTCTCTTCCTAAGTACTTTTCCTTTCATCATCCAGAGAGATTTTATTAAAATAAAAATTGATCATATTATTCTCCCACCTAAAACTTCTTGGTGGTTTTCTGTTCATTTAGAAGAAAATGGAAATGAAAATCTCCTGCAAACCCTTGTATGATCTGGCCTCATCTTCTCAACCTCCTTTCCTACCACTCCTTCCCTTCACTTATTCTACTTCTATCATGCCGATCTCCAAACCTTTGAGCACCGTCAAACCTTTGCTTGCCTCAGGGCCTTCTCACAGGCTTTTCCCTCTGTGCGGAATTTTGCTCTCCCATTCTTCATCAGTGGGTATCTCACCAGCTCAAAGAATCTTCTTTGCTTCTAATAATTCTAACAAACTAAATAGACAATAAAAATTTCTGAAAATCTAGTATTTTTAGGGCAATCATAAACCTGGTTTAGCTGTAAGCTGCAGTGACTTTTTTCTTAGCTCCTCCCAAAGAAAGTGACTGTGGCTCTAAAGCTGCTTACTCTGTACAGATGTATCAACTGGGAATCTCCTGTCCTGCATTGGCTTCATAATACCAAAGTGAACTTACTGGCTCACTTTACTGTGTGGTTCTCCATGGCACAGGGAAAAGGAATTTTCCCCTCTGAAGCTGAGTGATGAGTCTCCAAGAAAAAATTCTTTTGGATTGGGTGCATATGAAAGAAAGGTTTATTCCCCAGTCTTTTCACCTAAGTTTGTTGTTGAGCTACCCTGTGTCTATCTATTCAGGAAGAAAAATAATTAGAGACAGCAGCAGATAGAGAATGGCAGTGGAGCAACCTGCACACTCGATTGGCTGACAAGGATGCATGGGCCAGTAGGCATCTCAGGCTGAGCTGCCTTGCCAGTATGCAGAGGATTGATCGCCAGATGAGGCACTCAGTTTGCAATAAAGTACTGATGGTGGAAGCTCATGGTAGTGATGGTGATGGGGCTGGGAAGGTGGGCTGAAGACGTAGAGCTGGAGCTACATCTCCCAGAACACAGCCCTGCAGTAAGGAGGGTGCTCAGGGATCTCTGAAGCACTCACACATAAGCCGTGTGTGGCTTACCACACAGAAGGCCTCAATAGCTAGTGAATGTTGGCTAGAGAAAGAATGACAGCCAAAGTGGCTAGCCCATTTCCTAAGAGGCTAGAACTGTAGTGCTGAAGTTGAGAAACACTAGGGATTAAGGACTTTTCTGTAAAATAATGTCACCATTCCACTATAATGTCCTTCAGTTAGCTAGTTCTTTCTAAAGGAAAGTAACATTTGAATCTAGCATAGGATTTAATTTTGGTCAGGAATGAAACAAATGTTGGAGAAAGGAAAATATTGACAATTCTGGGCTAACCAAAATTAGATTTGCTTTAATAACTGCTTTTTATGTATCTGTTCTTGTCCCCAAAGAAATTCATAAGTTTCCCCACAGCTTCAAATCATCCCAGGTTAGAATCTAATTCATTTCTTTAAAATATAATTTATTTTTCTGCCTTGCTCTCAATTTTAGTTATGTTTTTACTTTAGAATCAAGGAACATAAAGAGGAAGAAGAAAGAAGGAGAAAACATGAAGAAAGGGATGCTAAGGAAATAAAGCGACAGAATGCATTATATGAAATAGAAATGAGGAAAAAACTAGAAAAGAAAAAAGAAGAGATAAATGAAAGCAGAAAACTGTTTTTTGTAAGTAAAAAATACAGCATTTCTTCAAAATATGTATAGAGTCCAGTACATGACTTTTAATATATTTTTTATAAAAAAAATTGTGGAGTAGAAAAGAAGTTGTCATTAAGTTGGGTTTCTAAATATACTTTGAGGGAGCTGTATTTGCTATGGATTTATGTGGACGTGCTCTCATGCATGAACAATAGAGGAAAGAATGAGACTTTTTTCCAAGTGAATACATTTTCTTGTCCTTTTTAAAAGAGATTTTACTTACTTATTTGAGAAAGAGATCACAAGCAGGTTGAGGGGCAGAGGGAGAAGCAGCCTCCCCACTAAGCAGGGATTCCCATGCAGGGCTCAATCCCAAGGCTCCAGGATCATGACTTGAACTGAAAGTAGATGCTTCACCAACTGAGCCACCCAGGGACCCCACATCTTCTTGTCCTTTAAATGAAAGTTGTGAGGAATGAATGGAGTAATATGTGTCCCGTGTCTGTGTCACTGTTTAGAAGTACTCAGTAAATGTAGTAGTTGTTTTGTGCCTATTGCAACTCACTTTATTTTGTAATTTTTTATGTTCTTTTCTCTAAAATTAGTTTTTATTCTTAACTAATACATGCACAGAATTAAAACATCAAACACCACCAAAAAGCTTAAAATAAGAGTAGCAGTTCTTTGCTTTATCCCTTCTGCTTCATGGAGACAATCACTTCCAGGTTCTTTTAGTTGTTTGTTTTGATATGAAATTATATTCTAAATAATCTGTATATTTTAAAAATATATATCTAATTCTAAAGATATGCATCTTGATTTATCAATTTTAGACATTTTCTGTCTGGCCTGGTAGTTGAGGATTTAGCTCTTTCTAATGCTGTCCCTTTCCCATTCTCCCCTTCCCCTGAAATAATTTTGTCGCAATTTTAGCTAAATCATTATTATTATAAAATATTGTTCTCTGAGAAGCCAACTAATATACCATGATTATATTTCTTTGCTTGCAAAAATGTTTTTCCAAGATTAAAATAATTGTGTATTTGCTTTGATGACTGTATACCTCAGTTTTTTTCCATATGTTCTGTAAGTTCTGTCAAATGTATGTTGATATTAGTGTTCAAATATTCATCTAAGTAATATTAAATTATCTCTGTTCTTGATTTTCTTAGAGTTCCCCCATGCAAGTCTGTCCTTCTCTAGGCCGCCTGCCCAGCTGTCATTCTGGGACTTCCCTGAGTCACTTTCCTGGGCTGCAGTTCCCATTTCCTGAATTCCATGCCCTCCTTTTTCTTAGTTTACTTCTTCATCTTACTGAAATACATCTTTGAGTAACTTCCTAAGAAAGGATATACAGGTCAATTTTTAAAATTCTCATCTGAAAAGGTTATCATTTAAAGCCATATTTGCTTTATTGTTTGAGTGGACATAGAATTCTGGTTCAGAATTCAGAATTTTGTATTCATGATTTCATGATCATCTGACTTCCAGTATTGCTATTTAGAAGTATGATGACATTTTATATGGCATTTTGTATTTTATTTTTCTCTCTCTCTTTCTGAAAGATTTCTGGGTCATTTTTACTTCACAGTGAAATACGTTGGTGTAGTTCTTTTTTATTATTTTGCTGAGCTCTCAGTTGATGCTTTCAATCTGAAAACATATATTCCTTTCATCCTGGAAGCTCTTCGTATTTTGTTTCTTGTATAATCTTCCATTTTGTCTCTTCTGTTCTAGAACCCCTCTGATATACATTGGACTTTCTGAATTGATGTTGTAATTAAAAAAAAAAAAAACTTTTCTAACTTTTTTAGTTAGGGGAAGGCGCAAAGGTAATAGTACCTTAAATTTTCAAGTGCAGAGGTAGTCATTCCAAGGCTGATATGGCAACTCCAGAATCAACAGGGACTGAAACAACTTCTCTCTCTCTCTCTCTCTCTCTCTTTTTTTTTTTTTTTTTGCTTTGCTATTCTTGAAACCTAGATGGCTTCTATCATCAAAGTTGCCCCATGGCCCTGAATGGCTGCAGGAGCTCTTGCTCTCATATCCACATTCCAGGCAGCAAGAAGGAAGAGAAGATGGGACAAAAAAGAATGCCCAACCATCTATTCTCCTTTTAAGGAACATTTCCAGAAGTCATTAGTGATTTCTACTAAATCTCATTAGTCATAATTAGTCATACTTAGCTGAAGAGAAAGCTTGGAAATATAGTCTTTTTAGACTAGCATGTTGCCACTCTGAACAAAATCTGGGTCCTGCTACTAACGCAGAAAAAAAAAAGAAGCTTAGGTAGGCAATTAATTATTCCTGCCATTTTTTGGTTTTCATTTGACTTTGAGAGTTATTCCCAAATTTGTCTTTTAAGCTTTCTATTGAATTTTAAATTTAGCTACCAAGGGGCACCTGGGTAGCTTAGCCAGTTAAGTAAGGATCCAGCTTTTGATTTTTTTTTTTTTCCCAGCTCTGGATTTCAGTTCAGGTCATGATCTCAGGGTCATGGAATTAAGCCCTAAGTTGGGCTCCATGCTCAGCGCAGAGTTTGTTTGAGATTCTCTCTCTCCCTTTCCCTCTGCTCCTCCTCCTTGCTTGCTCTCTCTCTCTCAAATAAATAAATCTTTAACAAAATAAAATAAGCTACCAAATTAAGCTACCAATTAACTACTAAAGTTTTAATTTCTAAAAGAGTTTTACCTGTAATGCTATTGTTCCTTTTGCATAAAATCTTACTCTTATTCCATGGGTGCAATATTTTTATCTCTCCAAGACACATTGGAATGGGACAGACTTTTAAATGCTAATGCTACCACTAAGTAGCTATGTAACCTTGAGCTGAGGCTTTCAACTTTTAAAAATGAGAATTAATTTTGTGTTAATTAACTCTATTCTTTACTATTTTAAAAAAATCTGTATGAATATTATAATAAACTTAGAAAAAAACAGCAAAATAGGGGCGCCTGGGTGGCTCAGTGGGTTAAAGCCTCTGCCTTCGGCTCAGGTCATGATCCCAGGGTCCTGGGATCGAGCCCCGCATCGGGCTCTCTGCTCAGCAGGGAGCCTGCTTCCTCCTCTCTCTCTCTCTGCCTGCCTCTCTGCCTACTTGTGATCTCTGTCTGTCAAAAAAAAAAAAAAAAAAAAAAAACCAAAAAAACCCACAGCAAAATATAACTTTTAAGAAATCATTTAGAACAACCACCTTTAACAGTTTGATATTGTTATTAGCTTCTCATGTTGACTAATGCTTCTTCTAACCAAATTATGGGCTTTTAAAGGTAATAGCCATAAGATAGGAGAGTACTTAAGAATGGTAAGCATAATAGACCCTGGATTAAAAATATATTGGAAGATTAAATGTTGCATCTTTCACTTCAATTGGTTTCTACTTATAGTAACTAAATACACTAACATATCTATATATCCAGGCTACTGTGTTCAAAGTTACCTATTTTTGTGATCTAATTCAGGCTGGAGTGGTAGAATATATGCTGATATGAACAGATTTATATTTTTTGTTTTGAAACATAATGACCTATATTAAAATGTTTTGTTAGAATATATATCTGTATCTTGTGTATGTGGGAAAAGAAAGTCTGGACAAGAAACTAGTTTCACAGTGATCATGTCTGGTAGGGGAATTAGGAATATAGGGAGATAGACAGTGGATGGGGAAAGAAAGACACTTTATACTGTGTATCTATTAAATATTTTTAATTTGTGTACCATATAACTATATTAACTATTTAAACATTAAATGAAAATATTTAATGTACATTTTCTGATTATGAAGTTTTTTAAAGATTTGGTTTTTTTAAGATTTTATTTATTTATGAGAGAGAGAGAACAAGTGAGGGGAGGGGCCAAGGGAGAAGCACACTCCCTGCTGAGCAGGGAGCCTGACATGGGCTTGATCCTAGGACCCTGAGATCTTGAACTGAGCCAAAGGCAGATGGTTAACTGACTGAGCCATCCCCACATCCCTTATTCAATTATTTGATAGAGAGAGTGAAAGCATGGGTGGGGGGGGCAAAGAGAGAGGAAGAGAATCTCAGGCAGACTCCTCTCTGAGTATGGAGCCCAATGTGAGGCTCGATCTCACAAGCCTGAGATCATGACCCCAGCCAATGAAACCAAGAGTTGGCTGCCTAACTGACTGAGCCAGCAAGCCTCCCCTAGAATTATTTTTAATTTTATTTATTTAATTATTTTTTATTTTAATTACATATTTTAAAGAAATGAGATATTTGAAAGGAAATACAGAAAAGCATTAAGACAAAAAGTCACATATATAATCTCATACCCCAGAGATTAACTATTAACATTTGATACATTTCTCATTATATCATTATAAACTTGTATATCATTATAAACTTGTATATCATTATAAACTCGTACGTTTATATGTTTGCAAAACTGAAATATGCTATGTAGTATTTTATATTCTCCTTTCACCCCACTTACTCATTATTTGTATCTTCCCATATCATTGAGAATATAATTTATTTAACCGTTTTTTCATTATTAAAGATTTGGAAGTTGTTTCCAGTTTTTCACTCTTATAAATGACTTTGGGATAAAGTACATGGTACGTAAAGCTTAATGCATATCTCTGATTGTTTCTTTGGGATAAATTTCCAAGAGAGAAATAACTGAGTCAGAAGCTCTGACCATTTAACAGGTTCTTGTTAGATATTCATATGTTGAAAGATATTTTTCTTTGCAATAGGATAATACATAATTTTTCCCCCAAGGAAAATATGAATGACAAAAATATCATCAAAGCGGTAGAATGGCAGCAGCAAGAGGAGGAAGATGAAAAGATTAGAAAATTTATCAAAGCTAAAAAGCGTCTTATGCAAATGGGGAAAGAAAAAGAAGCTGAAACACACAGGTAAGTTTTTAAAAGTAATTCATGTAATTAATGAAGTACTACCTGAAATTATTATAAATCAGAAGTTGTGATATATGAGAGTAATTTTTAAGAATAAGTCATTATAAGGTGCCTGGGTGGCTCAGTCAATTAAGCGTCTGCCTTCAGCTCAGGTGATCCCAGGGGACTGGAAAGACTGCTTCTCCCTCTGCCTCTCTCTCTCTCTGTTTCTGTCATTCATAAATAAATAAATAAAATCTTTTGGGATGCTGGGTGGCTTAGTCTGTTAAGCGTCTGCCTTTGGCTCAGGTCATGATCCCAGGGTCTTAGGATTGAGCCCCACACTGGGCTTCTTGTTCAGCGGGGAGCCTGCTTCTCCCTCTGCCTGCCACTCCCCCTGCTGTGTGCTCTCTCTCTCTGACAAATAAACAAATAAAGTCATTAAATAAATTTTTTTAAAGAGTAAGTCATTATATATAACTAGGGCATTTAGTGACATGATGGTCTCAGAGATAGGGTTCCCTTGGACTATCAAGGACATTTCTCTGGTAGATGGTTGGAAATAGTGAAATCTCTGCAGTAGGGGAGGGATATGAGCTAGAGATGGCTTTGTGAGCGTTTGATATATAAGTGGTAGTTGGAACTGGGGATACAGGTGAGCTCACCTATGGTGAGTAGGTAAGAAATGAAGGTGGCGTATTCCCTTGGGAAGTCCATATTTAAGGGTCAAATGGACAAAGAAGATCATGTAAAGACCAAAGAATAGTTTCCAGAAATTGGAAGAAAATCAGAGAAACAACCAAGAGAGTTTCCATAAGAAGAGAGCAGTCTCAGGGCGCCTGGGTGGCTCAGTGGGTTAAGCCTCTGCCTTTGACTCAGGTCATGATCCCTGGGTCCTGGGACTGAGCCCTGCATCGGGCTCTCTGCTTGTCAGGGAGCCTGCTTCCCTCCCACCGCCCGGCCTGCCTCTCTGCCTACTTGTGATCTCTGTCTGTCAAATAAATAAAATCTTTAAAAAAAAAAAAAAAAGAAGAGAGCAGTCTTTGGTGTTAGATCAATAGAGGGATTAAATGAGATTTTAAAAAAGATTTATGTATTTATTTTAGAGAGAGAGAGTGGGAGTGGGCACAGGGAGGGAGAGAGTCTTAAGCAGACTGTGCACTGAGTGTGGAGCCCAACAGGGAGCTTGATCTCACAACCCTGAGATCACAACTAGAGTGGAAACCAAGAGGTGGACACTTAACTGACTGTGCTACCCAGATGCCCCTAAATGAGATTTTAAAAAGGAAATGTCCATCAGATATGGAGGCCATTGCTTACTTGAGTGAGAAGTTTAGGATGAAGTAAGAGAGGAGGCCAGTTGCAGTACCTTGTGTTTCTGTCTACATCCCACTTTTGCCTTGTGCAAAATGTTCCAATCTCATGTGGAGTATTTACTAAGGCCCATAAGGCTCTCCACCATCTTAATTCCCAGGTGAACCCAGCCTCATTTCTTGAACTTTATCGCATACTATTATTCTCTCCTTCTTTGCCTCCTCATCACTCACACTGGACTTCTCCTATATCTTCTCTGGGGAATTCTGACCTCCCTAAACTATTTCTAAAGAATCATTACTCAGATGTCACCTTCTCAATGAGGCCTTCCCTGACCATCTTAATTAAAATTACAGCCCAACCCCACATTGTTTATGTTTACTTTTTCCTCATTCCTCATTTTAATTATTTACTTTGTTAACTATCCCTCTACCCCAGCTGTAATGAAAATTCTAGAACAGAGATTTAATGTTTTTGTTTACTGTTATATTCCCAGCACCTGGAATAGTTTCTGGAACATGGTAGGCAATCAATAAAAGTGTTTAGAGGGCACCTGGGTGGCTCAGTGGGTTAAAGCCTCTGCCTTCGGCTCAGGTCATGATCCTGGGGTCCTGGGATCGAGCTTCACATCAGGCTCTCTGCTCAGCAGGAAGCCTGTCTCCCCCTCTCTCTCTGCCTGCCTCTCTGCCTACTTGTGATCTCTCTCTGTGTCAAATAAATAAACGAAATCTTTAAAAAAAAAAGTGTTTAGAATATTGTTGAAAGTCTAGACGCAGTATCACCTTTCCCATGAAGCCTTCCTTTTTTCTCATCTGCCTATGTCACTTTCTAGCTTTCTCATGGTGTGAATCACCCTTTGCTATGTATTGTTATTTGCATAAATGTCTTTTCTCCACTTTAGACTATAATTTCCTTGGGATATGCACTGTGTCCTTTCTTCTCACTTCTCCTACATAGCTTTGCAAATTCACTCAATACATTAGTGATTCTGTCACATCTAAATTAAAAAGTATTTTTCAACCAATCCCAAATGAAAATGCCCCTATTCCTTTAACAAATACCTAGTTATTGTTAATGACATGCCTGTCACCATTCTCGGCTCTGAACTAGAGAGAGGACTTACCCATTCTCTGACCTCAGGAATCTCATAGTGTAAAAGGACAGTTATCTATCTTCATATAAATAGATGAAGTCGGGGCACCTGGGTGGCTCAGTGGGTTAAAGCCTCTGCCTTCAGCTCGGGTCATGATCTCAGGGTCCTGGGATTTAGCCCCGCATCGCATCGGGCTCTCTGCTCAGCAGGGAGCCTGCTTCCTTCTCTCTCTCTCTGACTGCCTCTCTGCCTACTTGTGATCTCTGTCTGTCAAATAAATAAATAAAATCTTAAAAAAAAATAGATGAAGTCAGGGGCATCTGGTGGCTCAGTTATTAAGCGGCTGCCTTCGGCTTGGGTCGTGATCCCAGGGTCCTAGGATCAAGCCCCGCATCAGGCTCCCTGTGTGGCAGGAAGCCTGCTTCTCCCTCTCCTGCCCCCCTGCTTGTGTTCCCTCTCTTGCTGTGTCTCTCTCTCTCTGTCAAATAAATAAATAAATAAATAAATAAATAATAGATGAAGTCAGTAAAGTGCTATGAATAAATTATAAACAGACTATATAGTAAGAGGATGGATTTATTCAGGTTTTGATAACTTTTACTAGATATTTTTAAGGTTTCATTTAAAGAAAGACCTTTATTTTATAACCTAAGCCTCCAACATTAGAGGGAACAGGGTGTCTGATTAAGTATTTTGAAAATTTTTCATTGTGAGAATTTTAATACTTTATTTCCTACCTACACACACACACACACACACACACACACACGCACACACGCATGTACTTACACAAGATATTTGTATTACTCCCTTTAGATTTTTAAAATATACTTCATTCTAAAAATAAAGTATTAAAAATAGTCTTCACTTAAAATAATCAGTACATATATGAGGAACAATGAGTCTCCTTTCAGTTTTGTAAAAAACTATAAAATATCCTATTTCTCATGAAATTATTTTGGCTCATAACAAATCTATTCATGAAGATTTAACAAATAATGGTTATTTTGTTACAGGCTAATGGAAGAAAGGAGAGAAAGAATAAATAACTTTCTGAGTGAACTCATGAAAGAGAAACTTGACAATGAAGATTTGATTATTGCTAGAGATACTGCAGAAGCTGAGGCTGAACAGGAAAAAAAAGAAAAAGAAAAATATGAAAAAAACAAAGCAGAATTAAAAGCAATTGCAGAATATAGAGCTGTTGTGGTAAGCAATTCAATTATGACAAATAAAACTTTAAAAAAAAAATTAAGTCCTGTGCTCGCTTTGGCAGCACTTATACTAAAAAAATTAAGTCCTTTCCACTGTAGTTTCCACTCCTTCAGCTTCTCTGACAAAAAACTAGCAAAGATCTGAAAAATAATGTATGAGTTATCTTCCTATATTCTTGAAGTCAGGCCATGTTTAATTTCTAATGGAAGCTCACATGATAATCAATTACAAATAAGATATTCATAGACACAAAATAATAATCTCTTTTGTTGCAGAACCATCTGAAATGCAAACATTGTTAGTCACTTAATATACATTTGAATGTTTTTAAGACTAACAAAATACAAATTACCCTATTGCATTTCTGTATTTCTTAATCCTTCAGATAATCCTTATGTCCTACATAATTGACTGTTGTAATATTTAATTTAGTTTATAAACATTATAGCAATTAATTTTTTACCTACAAATATTCCTCTACCTTGGGAAGAGCTTGCTATTCTGTTCCTATATATTTTTTTTTAAACCAGTATCATTCAAGTTTTCATTGTGTGTTTCCTGTTATTTGAGAAATAGAACAAAACCAAAGTAAACCAACCATGTAGGAATCAGCCCAGATTCATCTAACTTTTGCCCTTGCGGTTGCTCCTGGCTTTCTGCTTGGAGCTTCCTAACACTACTTTATTAGCACTGGTTGATTTTTTAAAAAAATGTTTTTTCTCTTTGCCTTTTAACATCTAGATGAAAAATAAAGAGGAAGAAGAAAGACAGAGGAAACTAGATGCCAAAGAACAATTGCTGGCTATCATGGAAGCAGATCAGATTTTCCAAGAGCATGAGAAGGAGAAAAAAAGCAAAGCTGATAAAGAACGTCAAGAACTTCGAGATGCCCATATTCAGCAAATGGTAATTATTCTTAAATGTTTATACTTATTTTAACAGTAAATATGTAATGTAGAATTCATGCTAGTTTTCTGTTTCCCAGGTGGTTTCATCTGTCAAATAAGATCAAATGACCATTATGGTTATGACACAATAAAATATATAAAAAATGTGGAGTTAATTTCTCTTTTTATCTGTATTGAAGTTCCCATACTAGGTTTATGTCCTTTGCACAGATATTTATCCTTCTATTTACTGTACATACTAAAGAAAATGCAAATTCATATGGCAGGCCATGATGCTTATCTTCTTCGTTTTACTTTTTCTTCCCTCTTTATAACTATAGCCCAGAGATTATGTTGTTTGGGAGCTCATAGGTTTCGAAGTTGTGGTGCTAGGGGTACCAGAAATTTTAGAACACACATAGAAGACGTGGCATTTCATCATTTATGACTTAAAACTGTTTTCCAAAATGGCTGTACCATTTTCCATTCCTACCAGCAACATATGCGAGGACCAATTGTTCTATATCCTCATCAACACTTGTTTTTGTTATCCTAAACGATTTCTAGTGCAGTGATATGTCTTGGTGTTGTTTTGCATTTCCCTAAAGACTAAAGATTTTGAACATATGTTCATGTCCTTTATAGACATTTGTGTGCCTTCTTTTACGAAGTGTGTATTCAAATCTTTTGGCAATTATTCAATTGGGTTGTTTGTGGAGTTTTTAAAATAAATTATTTATTTGAGAGAGAATGCACAAGCATGGGGCAACAGCAGAGGGAGAGGAAGAAGCAGACTCCCTGCTAAGCAGGGAGTCTGACATGGAGCTCCATCCCAGAACCCTAGGATCATGACCTGAGCCAAAGGCAACTGAACCCCAAGCACTCCTGGGATGTTTCCTTATTATTGTGTTTAACATTTTTAAAAAATGTGGTAGAATATACATAAAATTTGCCATTTTAACCATTTTTCAGTGTACCAGTTCAAGGCCATTTAGTGCATTTACTATCACCACTGCCCATCTCCATAACTTTTTCATCATCCTACACTGAAATTCTATACCTTTTCATTCCCCCTTTCCACCAGTCCCTGGGTGACCACTATTCTACTTTCTGTCCCGGTAAATTTGAATATTCCAGGTACCTCATAATAGTGGGATCATATCTGCCCTTTTGTATCTGTATTATTTTACTTAGCATAATATCTTCAAGACTCATCCATGTTTTAGCATGTGTCAGAATTTCCTTTTTATATTAAGGCTGAATAATATCCTATTATACATATAGACCTTATTTTATTTATACATCCATCCATCAGTGGACATTTGGGTTGTTTCCATCTTTTGGCTATTGTGAATAATCCTTCTGTGGATAGGGTATTCACCTATCTGTTGAGTCCTGCTTTCAATTCTTTTTTTTTTTTTTTTTTTAAGATTTATTTATTTGACAGAGAGAGAGTACAAGTAGGCAGAGTGGCAGGCAGAGGGAGGAGCAGGGAGTCCGATGCGGGACTCGATCCCAGGACCCTGGGATCATGACCTGAGCCAAAGGCAGCTGCTTAACTGACTGAGCCACGCAGGCGTCTGAGTCCTGCTTTCAATTCTTTTGTCTATGTATACAGAAACAGAATTGCCAGATCATATAGTAATCCTAGGTGTAACTTTTTTAAGAACCACTGTTCTATTTCCTTTTTTTCTTTTTAAGATTTTATTTATTTTGAGAGAGAGAAAGAGAGTGTGCAAGCAGGGGGAGTGGCAGAGGGAGAGAGTGAATCCCAGACTCCATGCTGGATTTGGAGCCCTACCCAGGGCTCAGTCCCACAGCTCTGAGATCATGACCTGGGCTGAAATCAAGAGTCAGACAGGTGCTGACTGAGCCACCCAGGTGCCTCTTGAATGACTATACTGTTTTCTATAAAGCTCTACCACTTAACATTCCCACCAGCAATATTCAAGGGCTTTAATTTCTCTGAATACTCAACATTTGTTGTGGTCTGGGTTTGTTGTTGATGGTTTTGTTGTTTATGACAGCTATCAAAATAGGTTTGAAGTGGATTTCACTTGTGGTTTTCATGTGCATTTCCCTAATGATTAGTGGTATTGAGCATCTTCTTCTGTTTATTAGCCATTTTGGTTCAGCCTGAAGACTTCCTATAGCATGTTTTATAGCACAAGTGGGTTAGCAATCGATCACTTTAGTTTATGTGTTTGTGGAAATGCCTTTGTCTTCATTTCATTGGGTATGAAATTACTGGGTATCATTCTTTCCCAGCCCTTTGAATATATTGTTCCATCATCTTCTGGCCTTCATTGTTTATCATTAGCAATCTGCTGTTAATCATATTGTTGGTCCCCTAAATGTGATGCATCATTTTTCTCTTGCTGGTTTCAAAAATTCCTCTTTATATTTTTCGCTTCCAGTAAATTGACAGTTTGCTTGACAGTCAACCAATAATGTGGGTGGGGCTTATGTTCAGTTCATTAATAAAATGATTTTAACCCTGGTGCACAAGCGATGTGTGGGTTGAGGATATTATTCCTAAGAACGGCAAATTCACAATTTCCCCCAGGCTTCTAATTTTTGCAAACTCTTTGGGGTCCCTTGTGTGAATGTGTAGTTTATCAATGAGACAAGGATGTCTTCAGCCATTCTATGCCCATCTCACTTCCAGAATCTTTCCCTTCAATTTCTAGCTGCTTTTCTACTCAATCCAAATGGAATCTGCCATCATTGTCCAGCAAATCTGCAAGTTTTCACCACCTGAGCTGGAGGGATAGCAATATCCCCCAGGCAATCTTGCATTTCTTTTCTTTTCTTTTCTTTTTTTAAGAAGGATTTTTTTTAAGGTTTTATTTGTTAGAGAGAGAGAGAGAGCGAGAGAGCGAGCGAGCACAGGCAGACAGAGTGGCAGGCAGAGGCAGAGGGAGAAGCAGGCTCCCCTCCGAGCAAGGAGCTGGATGTGGGACTCGATCACAGGACGCTGGGATCATGACCTGAGCCAAAGGCAGCCGCTTAACCAACTGAGCCACCCAGGTGTCCCCAATCTTGCATTTCTTACCTGATTTAGTAGCAGTTTTTCATGAAAAAACATTTCTCAAGTAGTTGCTTATACATGGTCATTTAACAGTGCTTTGAAATGGGAATTTCAATAATTAAATAATAAGCTTGTTTTTTATAGAGGGGAAATGGCCAACCTCTTCATGTAGCAATTGACAGAAGTAGGATCTGCCATATTATTTTTAAGCAAATCCCAGATATCATTTCATCAATGTATATTTAAGTATATATCTCTCAAACTCAGGGACTCTTTACAAATTTACATAATCACAATTCCATTATTACATCTAAACCAATTAATATTCAGTGTTTAAATTTCCTTTAAATTGCCTTGTATTTTTTTAGTTTGTTGGTTTTTAATTTTTTTTTTTTTTTTAAGTAGACTCCATGTGCAGTGTGGGTCTTGAACTCAAGACCCTGAGATCAAGAGTCACATGCTTTACGGACTAACCCAGCCAGGCACCCCTTAGTTTGTTTTAATCAGGATCAAATAAGGTTCATATATCCTATTTGGTTGATATGTCTTTCAAGTCTCTTATCTAACACTCCTTATCCACCCCTATCCTCTCTTAAGTTCTTAAGTTCTCTCTTTTTGTCTTTATTGTTTCTTTTACAACTTACTTGTTGAGGGTTTTTATTGGTTTACAGGGATTGTCTTTTTGAATTACTACAGCCTGGATTTTTATGGATGAACCCCTGTTGTGTAGTTTATTATGTTTCCTGCATTTCAGGTAAAATCTAGTTGAGGTCAGATTCAGGTTCAAATCTTTTGGTGAAAACTCCTCTTATGTGGTGTTGTATACTTCCATCAGAAGGCACATGGAACAGCCTTTGATGATTATTGCCTCGATCTCTTAGTTCATGAGGTGGCAAGATACTGTTATTCTCTCATTTTTTCTTACTCATTTGCTCAAGTCTTCAAAGAACTTTTCATGATCAACAAGTCAGTTTCCCTAAGGTAGAGTTTTTAAAGAAAAGACAGAATACTTGATCCCTTCCCTTTATTTTCCAGTATTCAAAATAATTAGCCCTCTAGCATCTTCTAAGATGCTTGTTACTTTACCCCCAGCTGTTGTAATTTTTAGGAATTTAAAACGATGTTTTAAAAGTTTCTTTATAAACCTATTTATGCTTAATGCAATAAAAATTGAGGCATCAATCATATGATCCATTATGATAATCCTTCCCTTCCCCTGTCACTTCATTTCTGTACTTCAGATGTTTCTCCTTGCTTCCTTAGTATCTTTCCACCAATTGCTATCAAACATATCCTAGTTGCTCTGTAAGTTACTAAATTATAGCATTTTACTTTTTATGAGAGTGGTTTTAGCTTTTTCTGATTTCTCAGTCTTTTTGAAGGTTTTTCTACTTTTTCAAACTCCTGGTATTTTATCACCAATTCAACAAATAGCACATAAGCCCTTTTTTTTTTTCAGCATATAAACCTTAATTTCGAATTGTATTTGAATTTGAATTTGAGTTAAATTCCAAAAAATTGGTGTTTAATATGTTATTATTGCTCTATTTATTTATAAATTTCAGTGTACAGTAGTTATCAGGTTTGGGCTCTTTTATACTGAAGTGTTGGTTACTGATTTAGGAAAATATTTTCATAAATATTAAAGATATTCATATAAATATTCATATAATTTGATAAAATTTGATAAAATCACTCAATTTTTGATAAACTCAAATTCAGCATTTCTTAAAATCCTGCTAAGACAAAAAGTTGTCAATCAAACCTCATTAAAATCACCTCATATAATCAGTTAAAAGAACAATGTTTTTGCAAACATAAAGAGTTAAAAGAAAAAAAATTATGAGATATAAATTGGCTTTTGGTAAATCGTTTAGAGTACTTACTCCACTCAGTTCCAGATCAACCAACATACATTGGTAAATGTCACTTGTTACAACTGCAAGTTCCTGGGAAAATAAAATGTAATTGGTTTAATTTGGTTTAGATATTCACTCCTGATTTAACCTTATTTGGCTGGTTTAACCAATATACATATACAATATATGTATCATATATAAAAATATATATGATACATATATATTGGTTTATATATATACATATATATGTGTATATGTATATATAGGTTTAATTTGGTTCAGATATTCACTCCTGATTTAACCTTATTTGGCTGGTTTAACCAATATACATATATGTGTGTACATATATATATATACACAT